GGCGATGATGTGATGTTGTGTTCCTGTCCATGTGCTGATTGACTGTTGGAATATGCAATGCGAGAGAATTCCCTTTGAACTGCAAACCTTCAGGCGCAGTACACGCGGTGGGGAGTACCCATTGCAGATCCCCGACGTAGTGCAGACGTAGTACCCAAGTCTACGCCCAAATTCTGCCGCGGCCGATCGCGCAGTCAGCAGGTCGCGCATGATGTGCTCCACCATTTGGCCCCGTATTGGCCCACGTGCCGCCGTCCTTGTGCCAGCCGTCGTGCTGGGCCGAGCGGGCCTTGGTGGCAAGCAGCTTGGGTCCTGCCTTGGCGTTGGCGCTCCTGTGGATGCGGTATTTGATTGAACGCCACGCACGGTTGGGGCACGTTCAGCTCCTTAGTGGTCCACCGAAGGTGACCGTTATTCTAGATTAGACGGGCATGCTCCTCGATGTAATCGAACCCCTGGACTGCTTTCGACTCATCCATGAGTTCTGTTTTGTTTGTTGAGGTCGCGGTGGTCGAACGTGAAATACCTGATCTTCAAGCCAGGGAGGTGCATGAGCAGGTGCTGCAGCGCCTTCGTCCCTGCTTTCTCATTGATGCCCCACGCGGTCTTATGCGCCTGACCAACGCACATGCTCGGACGGCTGTGCATGTTGATATTGTTCTTCGCGACGTAGCGGCTGATGGAGCACTTCCCGCCGCCGCCCCTCGGCGCCACGAGCAGCTGCGTGGTGCTCGTCCTTCCAGCGGAAAGGCAAGGGCCGGTCCTTGAATGTCTTGCGACGGGGGTGCTCCAAGATAGCGCCTCTGTCAATGTCCTCGCGGCGATCGGGCGCGATGTCCACGAAACGCACGACCTTCTTCATTGGGCCGCCCGCCTCGGTGTCAACAGGTGTACACGGGGGATCCTTTGCAGAGTGTGCGGTGCCCGTCTCGTCCTCTGAGAGGATGGAAAAACTCAGCTTGTGCATGGTGAAGTCCTTCGCGACCGCCGCGATCATCGCAGCGACGCGCGGCGCCGCAGAGGGTGGGGGGGCGCGCGCGGGGGCGCAGCCAGCCAGGTGGTGCCAGGGCGGATCGTCCCTTGAGCCACAATTCGGGCAAACCGCGGAAGATGAGAACGCTGCGCTGTTACCACGCGCGTGGTTAATTCATGTTGTCGCGGGGTATCGCCTGGGCCTCTGGCGGCCAAGATGAGCCCAAACATCGGCTGAGCCCAAACAGCTACGATACCGAATATGTCGACAAGGACATCCGCAGCGCAGTTGGTTCGTTTCCTCCTCCGTCGTTTGGCGCTCTGTCCCGCTGCGCCTGCCCTGCTCTCTCCCCCTCGTTCTCTCGCTCTCGCTCGTTGTGTTCTGCTGCGGTTCATCCTCCGTCGTTTGGCGCTCTGTCCCGCCGCGCCTGCCCTGCTCTCTCCCCCTCGTTCTCTCGATCTCGCTCGCTGTGTTTTGTTGTGGCTCCAGTGGCCAGAGTGGAGCTGCTCGGCAAGGCTGCGCGCGGCGCGCGTCAGCCCCAGTCGTTCGCGTGGCCGCGGGGCGGGCCGCGCTGCGCCAAGAGCCTCGCGTTCTTGGCCGCCCAAAGGGGGCTAGCGGTGCTTCACGCGCACCTGGAGGGTCCGCCACCAGCTCTCCCAGGTGGCGGTGGTTTTCTCGACCGCCTCCTCGGCCTCCTCGGTCTTCTTCTCAGCCTTCTCGGCCATCTGCTTGGCCTTATGCAGCTCCTTCTCCGTCTTCTCCAAGGAGTCCCGCGTCTCGCGCAGCTCCGCCCGCGCGTTCTTGAGAGCGGCCGTTTTCTCCGTGAATTGCTCCTTGGGGCGGTTGGCAACCGCCTCTGCCGCGGCGGCCCTGTGGCTTGCGGTGTACTTCTCTTTGTAGTGGTGGTTCGAACGGCGGGAACGAGCGTCCAGCGCGCCCTCGGGGGACCTGCGAGCTGCTGCGCGCGCCTCCTTTGGCAGTTTTGCCACTGCTGGCTTGTTGCTCAAGTCCTGCTCTCTCTTCGCGGCCCTGCGCACCTTGTTGTTGAACAGCTTCTTCTCGTAAGCCGGGGCCGCTCCCTTTGGGTTTCCCATGGCGGCGCGAAGCACGGGGCGGGGAAGCAGTTAAACCTTGAGGAGCCACTTAAACTTTGAGCTGAAACAGGTACGGAGGAGGAGCGGGGAAAGAGGAATACGCAGGATACGCGGGATCACCTAGGAACGGGCCCCGTTCGTTTGCGAATTATTTTCTGTAACTGTGGCGCTCTCGAGGGCATTAAAAATTGATGCCGCCATCACATGTCGTGCTTCCTCCTCCGCCTCCTTTTCCTCGCTCTTCATCGCTTCCTCGCTCATGATCAGAAGAAGTGTTGCGAGAAAAAACGCACGCCAGGGCAAAGTGCCCGACGCCAACTTTGAAACCCATTGCACAACGTGGAGAACGAATACAACGTGGAGGAATGGGAAGGAGAGGGCGAGGATGAGGAATACGAATAACATATGCTCGCCCCCCGCCCCAAGTGCTGGAGGATGAATATAGAAAGGGTGACGAGGAGGATGCCTCGCAGAGGTCCCCCAAAACGCATTGAAAACGATGCTCCCGCCTGAGAGGTCCCCAACAAGCATACACAAACTGAAGCTCCCGCCTGAGAGGTCCCCAACAAAACACTCAAAACGAGGCTCCCGCCTGAGAGGTTCCAGCAACAAAAACAAAAACGAAATCCAAGAGCCACCCCTCTCGTCATTGTAACTGTTTTTTAAACAAAAAATGTTTTAGAGGAGAACTCCTCCCCCCCGATTCCTCCTCTTCTTACCCGCCCCCCTCGGATGGGAGGAGAAGTTCTCTTCTGACACGTAGTTTTTGTTTGTGTTGTTGGTGCCAGTTCCAAGGATGAGGGGGTGGCTTCTGCATTTCTATAGTTTTTTTGTAACCTCTCAGGCGGTAGCCTCGTTTTGAGTGGTAGTTTTGGGGATCTCTCAAGCGGGCGCTTCCTTTTGAATGTGGTTTTGGGGACCTCTCAGGCGGGGGCCTCGTTTTGAACGCTTGGCAAGGCTTTGCTTGATTCACTCCCGTAAGGGGATTCGAAGGATGAGGATGGGGAGGAGGAGGGGGAGGCGGAGGAGGAGGAGGAAGAGAGAGAGAGAGAGAGAGAGAGAGAGAGAGATAGACGACACCGAGAGAGAGATAGGGATAACGGAGAAGCGGCATGGAGTGGGAATGAGAGCGGTTTCTTTCCGAAGCTTTTAAAGGCCGAAGGCGCCCCATAAGATGAGGCAGAATGAGGTGGACCTCTGCGGGGGGTACCATACACACACATCTATATATATATAAATATGTGTGTATAAATACAGCTATACGACCACCCTCAGGGTGAAGAAGGTTCGGGGGATGAACCAACGTCTCATTCGATCGGTCCTACTATCGATCTCACTATCGATCTCACTATCGGTCTCACTCGACCGATCTCATTCGATCGATCTCACAATCGATTTCACTCGATCTATTTCATTCGATCGATCTGACGATCGATCTGACTATCGATCTCACAATCGATCTCACCATCGATCCCACTGTCGATCTCACAATCGATCTCACATTCGGTCTCACGGTCCATCTCACTATCGATACTACAATCGATCTCACAATCGACGTCATCATCATCAACATCATCGTCATCAACGTCATCAACATCATCATCATCACCATTATCATCATCGGGACAACATCATCATCATCACCATCATCATCACCGGGGCACCATCATCGGGACACCATCATCATCATCATCATCAGAATCATCATCATCATCGGAACACCACCATCATCATCATCATCATCACCATCATCTCATCATCATCATCATCATGAACAACATCATCGACATCATCATCACCACCATCATCATCATCAGCAACATCATCATCATCAAACTCATCAGCATCATCGGGACAACATCATCATCGTCACCATCATCATCATCATCGGGACACCATCATCATCATCATCAACAACATCACCGTCATCATCACCATCATCGGGCCACCATCATCAAAATCATCATCATCATCACCTCATCAGCATCCTCATCAACATCATCATCAGCATCATCATCATCGGGACACCACCGTCGTCATCATCACCATCAACATCATCATCATCATCATCATCATCATCATGATCATCATCATCGGGATACCATCAGCATCTTCATCTTCACATTCACCATCATCATCTCATCATCATCATCACCTCATCAACATCATCAGGGTCATCAACATCATCATCACCATCATCGGGACAGCATCATCATCATCAGCAACATCATTATCATTAGCATCATCATCGGGACATCTTCATCATCACCACCATCACCATCATCATCATCATCATTAACATCGTCAACATCATCATCATCATCATCGTCATCGTCACATCGGGACACCATCATCATCACCACCATCACCATCACCATCATCATCATCATCATCATCATCATCATCATCGTCATCATCATCATTAATATTATCGACATCATCATCATCATCATCATCATCATCATCATCATCATCATCATCGGGACACCGGCGGGACACCGGCGGGACACCGCGGGCCATCGGCCCCTGGAAGGGAGTCATTTGGTCCGGCCGCGCCTCAGCGGGAGGCGGGACACCGGCGGGACACCGCGGGCCACCGGTTGCCGGAAGGGAGTCATTTGGTCCGGCCGCGCCTCAGCCGGACGAGATTTTCTTCTCGCCCGCCCACGCAGCTTCGCCTCGCCCGCACGCACGGCACGCACGAACACGAAACCGAAACCGATTTCCGGGTAGGGGGGTTCTCCGTTCCACTTCGATCTCACCCCCTCACCCCCTCACCTCCGATACACACACAGTTCACATATGATATTTACCGCGATTCTTTGTCTCACGCTGACTGAATCTGTCGGAGTGCAACCTTGGGGTGGGGAATCGGACCCAGCGGTTAGATCTTATTCAGATGAGCGCCTGAACACCATTAAACAGTCCCCGAGGCACCGACGGGTGACCAGCGTGCGATGGACAACTCGGTGGTCATATGCGTTCTCGCAAAGGAGGCCGATAAGTCAAACCCTGCGGTGAAGGCTGCGATGCGGCGCGGCTGGCTTCTGGAGTGCAACGGGCTGTCTGAGGAGACGTGCACGGAATACATCGCCACTTACCTCGGGGTACCCCAGAAATCACTTGACAGTGGGGCAGCCCCGCTGCGGGACTTCATCGGAAAGGTCTCTTTGGGTAACCCCTTGTTCATCCGCGAGACCATCGACCAGCTGCTGCTCCATGACCTTGTCAAGGTCCGGAAAAGGCGGGACGGCGAGGCCGACCTCAGCTACCACCAAGACCTCGAGGGTGTCAACATCGCATCCTGGTACCAGACTTCCATGGTGGGAGAGACCATCTCGTGAGCGATAAACGCGACTTCAACATGCTCGCGGTCATGATTCCCTGGCCCCGACCCCACGGATGCAGGTGCTTGCCGCCGCGGCAGGGCGCGATCGCCTCGCGCAGAGCACGTCCTTGCGACCGCGTATCCGGGGGGTCGCGGTGAGACATCCAGACCGCTGGGGCGTGGACATCGACGCTGGTGGAAATTCGGCTCGATTCCCAGAGCAGACAAGCGGTGGTCGATGTTTTTGGGGCATGCGTGGATTCTCTGTCCAATCTCCTGGGCCCCAGAGGGGGCCCCAAACCCTTGTAGTTCCCGCTCTCTGCTCAAGTAGCCCAGGGCGGTCTCAACACCCAAACCTCGGGCGCGGAGCGCCCCAGGGGCCGCCTCTGAGATGGCGAGACCGTCCTGGACCATTCGGGGGGTTTGTTGGGGCCAGTGGGGACTACTTGGGGGGGCTGTCTGTGCGCAACCCGGAGCCTTCCGATGCGAATGCCGCCAGCGTGCCAACATGTGCGCCGTGCATTCCCGCGCGGACGTGCTCATGTTTGTCGCTCATGGCCATCTGCCTGCTGGAGTCGCTGGACCCGCTGCAGGCCGCAGTCCTCAAGATGAGTACGGTCTTCACGGGGCCGTTCACCCTGCCAGACCTGGCGTCCTCCAGCTGCTCGCGGTGGGCCGGCGCCGTCAACTTCGACCACTTGCGCCTGTTCCGGGCGGTGCTCAGAAGAGAAAAAGGTACGGATACCGGCGGTATCGGCAGCGGTATCATACCGCTAGCCTTCTGTCGTTTTCCCCTTTGTGGGCCTTCCGGGAGGCCCTCGTCGCCACGGCTAGATCTCCGAAGTGCTGGTCAGATTGCACGCCAGGAAAGGTCCGTGGAGAAGCGGGGTCGGTACCTTTTGTTCTCTCAGGTGCAGGACCTCGTGAGGCGGCGCGCAAGCGGGGGCGGAGGAGGAGTCTAGGGTTCAGTCGGGCATGTGCCTCTACAGGAAGAGTGCTCGAGAACAGTAAAGAATCAGTTCGGGGATTTCTTGGCGTGCTCTTCTGATGTTTTGCTCATGTTTGACTATCCTTTCTAGTTTTCTTCCGAAATCCGCCTGCACACCGCAGGCCCATTCCAAGAAACCTTGCCTCCAGGGTGCCCTGGGTTTCTTGGGTTTCGAGGGTTTTGCTCTGGCAGGCGTGACGTGATGTGGGCTCAAAAATCATTGGACATCCTTGGATCTCAGGGTTGGGTTTCTTGTGGAAGGCTTCTTGTGGACTGGCCTCCACTGTAGGAGGACATGCCCGACCGAAGGAGAGTGCCAGGGGAGCTCGCTCGTGCCGTGCGGGGGGGCCTCTGGGGGAGGGAGGCCACGGCTGGGAGCGCGGCTCGAAAAGCCTACAGGATGGGTAGGCAGCAGGTTTTGACCAGCGACTCGAGCCATCGAGGATAACATTACATCGGGCCTGTCCCGAGGAAATTCAAACGTATCCCAGTGCGACCCTACCTAGGAGTTGGAGCCTCTAGGAAAGCAACATTAGTAGGAGCGGTAAACGCCGTCCTCCTCCTTCTCCTCAGCAGCAGCAATAGTGGATGCTGTGGTTCGCTATGCTATGCTCTGCTATGCTATGCTATGCTATGCTATGCTATGCTATGCTATGCTATGCTATGCTGCGCAATGCTATGCTGGGCTGGGCTAGGCTAGGCTATGCTATGCTATGCTTTTGCTTTGCCTATGCTTTTGCCTTCACTTGTGCCTTTGCTTTTGCTTTTGCTGGGCACCCAGGGAGCGCAACTGGGGGAACCACTCCCAGGGGACCGGGGGAACCGCCCAGGGCGGTTTACACTGCCCGGCCCTTTAGGCCAACGAGTAAGAACCCTTCTAGGCAGAGCCTAAGTAGGGAAATAGTAAAAGACGATTTATTATTATCATAATTATTAATACTATTATCATGATGATGATGTTGAGGATGATGATGATGCTGATGATGATGATGATGATGATGATGATGATGATGATGATGATGATGATGATGATGATGATGATGATTATGCTGATGATGGTGATGATGATGATGATGATGCTGATGATGATGATGATGATGATGATCATGATCATGATCATGATCATGACAAGTTTGAATAGTTCCGGCGGCGGCGAGGCAAAGGCAGTCCGCTCCAGCGTGAGGCTAATCGGGGCAACCGATTGGCGAATTGTCCGCCGTGCAAGAGGGAGGAAAAAGATGAGGGCGGCCGCGCGGGGGGAGGGGGAGGAGAAAGCAATCAGACGTGGAAGAGTTCCGCGTAGAGCAGGCCGGTGCGGCCAGCCGAGGCAGCGGGTACCGTGGCAGCAGCTGGGGCCGAGGCCAGGGCGCACCCACGAGCGCTGCCAGGGCGCAGTGGCGATGGCGAGCAAGTAGGGAACCAGTCCAGGAGTCCGAGGGCAGGGAGGGAAGAAACACACAAATAATTGTAGATCCCCAGGTAAGTTAGGGAACACATGGGAAGATGGGAAGACGAGCATCTTCGCTTCGTTTCTCGTTCGCCGTTTCGGGGCTTTGCATTGGCAGGAGTCCACGCACAAGTCCGCTGCAGCACGTCTGCAAGGTCGTTGCTATGAGACTTGAGTCATCGGGATTCTACAAACCCTGACCCTAGTTACAGAGTGAAGACGTGGCCTCACTGAGGTCCCCGTCTTCGCACGGTGGATCAGAAGTCTTTGGGCGTTTTGGGTGTACAACATCCGCAGAAACGACCCCCTATCCCTAAGGCCTCTGGCCCTCCCGACTTCGGTGCCCTCCCAAAGGGTTGGGGTCCCCTTTTCTGGTTATAACCACTTAGATGTGGGCGTCAATGAGGGCCCTCCGAGAAGCTATCTCGGGAGCCTTCAAGAAGGAGCCGGCCCCTCCTGGGGCTGTCCCCGTGTTTCCTGGGAAGTCTAGCACTAGCAAAGCGTCCTGGCTTGCCTATTGGCCTACCAAACAATGTTCTGAGAACCTTTTGTGATCTACACGAAATGTTCTTAGAACATTTCTGGCTGGGACTGTCGTGTTTTAACACATCGAGTTGATGTTCTAAGAACATTGTTTTTGTTCTTAGAACATTTTTGGGTTCTCAGAACATTCCGTGGTAGGCCTATAGAGCTGCCGGGACGGTCGGTCCCTGCTCAATGTCCCCGCGTCTTCCCGGGAAGGCCGCCACCTCGCCCGGCACCCTCCTCTTCCGAGGCGGGGCATCCTCGAGTTCGGGGCGGACACGCTCGAGACGGCCGCGGAGGAGGCGGCCGGGAGGGCGCAGCAGCGTTTCGAGATGCGGAATGTGCTGATCCGGAAGGTCGGCGGGTCTATGCTGCTGGAGGCCCAGAAGAAGGTCGTCAAGCGGCAGGCACGGAGGAGGATTATGTCGGGCGTGTCCCCCTACAGGGGGATTTTCGACGAAAATTAAAGATACTCCAAAAATACCCTAAACATGTCAAAACATACCAAAAAAATAGTCCCCTGACTATTGTTGGCTATTTTTTTAATATCATTTTTGGGGTATTTTTTATTTTTCGTCGAGCATCCCCCTGTAGGGGGACAGGCCCGACCTAAGAGAAGGAGGAGGAGGAGGAGGAGGAGGCGCAGCGGCAGGGAGGAGGAACGGCGGGCTCGGGCCTCAGAGGGCGTGTTTTTGTTTTCACGGCTCGGGCGACTCGAGCAATGGCCACGCTTCCTGGCTCTGCCTAGAGGCCCAAGTACCAGGAAATGCTGTAAGACCCTTCTTGCGGTTTGCACGAGATCTTGTTCGAACACTTCTGGCTGAGATGGTTATGTTTTATGACATCGGGTTTCTGTTATACGAACCTTGTTTCGCTCTCTTCTGACATTTTTTCGGTTCAGAGAGATTTTCGTGGTAGGCCTATGGGAACGTAGGGACGGTCGGTCCCTGCTCAAGCAACGGAGTTTTGTACCCCACGCTTGGGATTGTTTTTTGTGTTGCGGGTCGTCTCTTCGTGGCCCTGGAGCCGGAAAATCGCCCGTGGGCACCGAAATCGCCGAAGGGTGCCCAGTGCTTCCTTCGACTTCGAAGGTTTGGGTTCCCATAAGCCGTTTCGCCAACTCCACGCGGGAGCTCATTCTAACCAAGATTTTTTGAGGCGAGCCCCGCCGTGGCGGTAAGGATCCCCTGTGGGACCCGAGCAAGACAAGGCAACATCCCTCTCCCGGGCCGCCTCCCAGGGAGGAGGGGCCACACCCAGACTTCTGGTGCTGCTTTTTATTGGCCTATGAGTATACTGAATACGGGGTAAATGTTAATTAGTGTCACGCTCGCTCCTCATGCATTCATCTGCCTCCTTCCCTGGCTTCCACCCGGCTGCTCACACTGAGACTTACCCATGTTCAGATTTCTTCTGATTAAGACCGACTCGCACTTCCACTCACTCTTACTCAGACCGCTCACGCTAAGACCCGATCCTATTCATACCCGGACCACTAATACTCAGATCCTCTCATACTCAGCTTAGTCGTACTCAAACTCTTCAGCACATATCACTCACATTCAGACCATACACACTGATATTCATCCAGACAAAGACTCGCTTGTATTCATAATTATCCACACGCAGTCACACATACACATCCAGGCCCACTCATAGTCAGACTCACTGATACTCAGAAACCTCAGGCGCATACTAATTCATACTCAGACTTACATGGTCACGTGACGCAGCAGGCACATAATTTGGGTTCCCCCAGGCGGAGCCGCCAGGAGGTATAGCACGAGCCCGTTCGCGTCAACATAGTGGGGGGTCTTAAGCGAGACGCTTGTTGTTGGATGTTGGCGTGTCTCTTTTGAGAGACCCATGGCCACAGTGGTGTAGCAGGCATTGGATTTGGGCCACCTGGACGAGAGCCGCCAGGTGATAATGCACGGGCCCGTTCGTGGCCAGATCGAGGAGATATTACACGCGAGACGTTTGTTTGTGGAGCTGGCCGTGACTCCTTCAGGAGTCCTGTAGTCACCGCGGCGAAGCCGCCAGTGGGTATTGCATGAGCCCGTTCGCGCCAAGATTGTGGTGCGCGTCTCTGTTGAGGGCCCCATGATCACCGCGATGTCGCGGGCAGAACGTTCTGGCCGCCAAAGGGGGATCCTCCAGAGGGGATTGCACGGGCCCGTGTGCATCCATACTATGGTGATGTCTACAGCGAAACGCTTGTTTATTTGAGGGCTGCATGATCACAGCGACGTGGCAGGGATGGCATTTGGGCAGCGCAAAGGGGAGCCGCTAGATGATATTGAACGGGCCCGTGGGAATGTCTCCAGCGATGTGCCTTTTTGGGGGCGAGTACATGCCCCAATCGAGAACCCCCCCTATGATCAACGAGATGCAGCAGGCCTGGCATCTGGGCCATCCAAGGGGAGGTCGACTAGCGGCGCGTCACGGCCTTCGTGGCCTATTCATACCCTAACTCGCTAACAGTCAGGCCCATTCGTGCTCAGTCGCCTAGCCTCGAGTATACTCAGACGTTCATACACACGTGACTCGCTAAAAGAGACGTGCACAAGCACTCGAGCCAATCCCGGTCCAGTGTTTCGGCCAGGGTATTTCCGACAGTCCTCGGTCGGGGCTTAAGAGACGGAGGTCAATGCAAACGGGGGTCAGTCAGAGCGCCAGATCTTGCAGGATTCTGCAGAGCCAGGGGCTCATTGATTCAGGCTTGCGTGCAGGATCCTACAAGGCCCTATTGACCGGGGTTTGGGTTGACCCGGGTCAGTGCGTCCCCGACTAGGGCACGAAGCGGTCATCTAGAGGTGGAGACCCACCCAAGAAAAGGCGGCCGTGTTGATTTGCTCGTGCAGATGTCTCGACACTTCCTCTTCAAAATCGCTCCACTGGACCCCTTGACCTGTCCTGTGCCTTCTGGCCTGAATTCCAAGGCGAATCCAGATGTGACGGCGAGAATGTCCAGAGGCCCCCAAACACGTCCAAACACGCTTCGCTGATGACGACGGAGGTCTAGAGGGAGGATGAGCTAGGAGGAGGAGGAGGAGAAGCTGGAGCTGGAGGAGGAGCGTAACAAGGAGGAGATGGTTGAGGAGGAGGAGCAGGAGGAGAAGGAGGAGTGGGAGGAGGAGGAGGAGGAGGAGGACGGCGACGACGACCATGAAGGAAGTTTGGACGATTTGGTTCGAATCCCGGAACATTGATTTGGTAAGCGTGTAATGTTGGCGACACCGTCACCCAGAAATCTCCCAACAATTTCAGACAATCTGGAGAACATCGAACACACACACACACATCGAGGAGCACGAGGAGGAAGAAGAAGAGGAGGGTGGCGCGAGATTTGCAGAAGGAGCAGGGCAGGCCCTCATCGACCGGGCCCTCGCGAGGGACCTGCCCGCTCGGCTAGAGGAGTTGGCGGCCAAGAAGCTCGAGCCGCACATCCCGTGGTACTACGAGAGCGTGCTCGCAAAGGCCTGAGCGGTCTGGCCAGCCCACGGCCAGGCAGGCCTCCTCCTCCTGCTCCTCCAACTCCATCCTCCTCCCTCCTCCTCCTCCTCCTCCTCCTCCTCCTCCTCCTCTTCCTCCTCCTCCTCCTCCTCCTCCTTCCGTTGCCATTTTGGCTCAAGTGTGATTGGGGAGATCCACCTGAGCGGGCAGCTCACTTCAGTGGGCAATTCGGGTGTCGTGCCCGAGCGGGCCTCTCTCTCTTTCTCTCGCTTTTCTCCCACCAGTTCTCGCGCCATGGCGGGCTCTGCGGCTGAGGCGATAGAGCGTGGCATCAAAGAGCTGCTCATCAAGATGGACTCCATGAACTCCAGCTTCACCGAGCAGTTGGCAGGCATCAACACGACCATTGCGGAGATCCCCACCATCAAAGCTCAGCTGGTCGACCAGGCGGCCAATAATGCTGCCATTGTTGAACGGCTAGACAAACTCGAGGCCCAGGGCGTCGCGTCCGCCACCGAGGGTAAGTTTCTGGCGAAGCTAGAGCTCCTGGAGACACGCGTGAGCAGCCTCTCTACTGCATCCACCTCGAGCGCAAGCAGTGTACTTTCCTTTGGGCACGCAGCCAACGGTGCCAAGCGTGCTCGTTCTGAAGGACCGTCTCGATTCGGTAGGCATGAGGATGCAGCTGATGCCTCCTCTCGCGACCGGTGCAAGATCTGGGTCAGCGGCTTTGTCTCTCCGATGCTGGGCACAATGCTGGAGGAGCACGGCAAGCATTTGCTCGGCCTTCTTCCGTCTCATCACACCGCTGGCGCCACTATTCGTGGTTACAACCTCAACAAGTCCTACAGTATCAAGTTTGCCAACGAGCAAGCTGCAGCTGCTTTTGTGGATCACCACCGTACAGCAGGCATCCAGTACCAGGACCAGGCCTCCAACCCCACTGTCAACCTGAGGGTGCGGTTCGACGCTCCCGCCGAGATCCGCGTCAAGAACAAGTACCAGGGGAGGCTCTGGCAGGCGATCACCGCGGCCATGAAGCGCGACGGGAAGTGGAAGAATGACTACTCCATCGGGTCCAACGGCTTCAAGGGCATCCTGTACATGAAGGTTGGCGATTGTGTTTTCGTGCTGTTCGAGCTACTTGCCACAGACCGCAACCAGTTCGAGTGCAAAGCCAACTCCGACAATCTCACCAAGTTCGGCATCGACGCTGAGGCCGCGGCGGCCATGATCTCAACCTCGATGGAATAGGACGCTCCCCTGTTCGTACCGAGGACTGCTGAGTCTCCCGCAGTCAAGGGATACCTGCCGTGCAGCTTCGATGAGAGCGGGATGATAATCGAGAGCTCCTCTGACTGCGGCTCCTCTTCCTCCTCCTCGTGCCCATCCAGCCCGTCTTCTGCCTGCAGTGCCTGTTCTTTTCCTGACCAGCCCTTCAATTTCACGCAGTACTTCTCTGCCGTAACGTGGAATGGGCAGACTCTCTTCGGTTCCGTCTCGTCGCCGATTAAGTCGATCGCCGACGTGATGTCGAAACTTCGCCGTCTCATTCCGAAACACGCCATTATCGCTCTTCAGGAAACTCGCGGGTCCCAGCAGGACCTCATGTACCTGAAAAAGGAGATCGAGGGGCTGCACGCGTACGGTACTTTCTTCTCTTGTGGCACCAAAGGTGGTTGCGTTATTATCATCCATCCCCGCTTTGCCTCGTTCTTCTCTCATGTTCGGCATCGCGTTCTTCGGAGGGGCCGAGTTCGCGAACTCTTGCTGCAAGGGCGGCATGGCACTGTGCAGATCATCGATGTGCATCTCGACCCCAGCCTTCCCATCCCTGCTCGTCAACACACTCTTCGTTTCATCAAACCGAAAGCCCTCTCATCCTCCTCTGGGACCTCTTTCGACATGGGCGACTTCAATTTCTGTGCGCTTGGGGAGGGGAGAACGCATATTAGTGGGGAGCATGCTTATCACACTCATGGGCTCGCAAAATATTTCGGCCGCCTCTTCCCTGGGTTCGCCGAAATTTCCCAGCCTGCATGCTCACATAGACGCACCCAGATTCGCGACAACGTTCGGTCTATCCAGTCGGTGGCGCGTCTAGACGGGATCTACACCAATATGTATAGCGCGTCCTTGATCGACTTACAGGCCAACTCGCTCGCGCTCGCCGCTGTGTGCGACCTGGAGTGGCCCTCAGACCATGTTCCTGTCTGTCTCTCGCTCTCCCCCTCCCAGGCCTCGGGGGCTCCGCGGATTGCATCATGGGTTTGCCGCCGTCCTGTTTTCCCTCCGGCGATGCAAAGAGTTCTGGATATGGTTCCCCCTCTCTCTCCTGATCCCGCTCTTGCTGTTCGCGAGTTCAAAGATGTTATCCGAGCCGTCGCCAAGCTTGTCCGAGAAGAGCTTGAGCAGAGAGAGGCGGACTCGCTGCCTGAGAAACTATCATGGACGCGCGCTGCTCATCGTGCGATGCAGTCAGGGCCGCCATCTCGAATTCGGAGAGCGTTGCGTGCCTATCCCTATTTGTCTCGCTTCATAGATGTCGCCGACCTCGTCTGGAAGGACATGCGTGGCTTCTATGTCTGGCTGGACCGATTGGCAGCTTGCAATGTCAAGGCAATTATCGCAGAGGTCGACGCAGACCCGCACATGCACCCTAATACCAAGTCCTCTTCCAAGCAGCGTCTTCACGAATATCTGTCGGCCTGGTCTGGAGTTAATCGGCGCATTTCCCTCACCGGTGTCGCCGATCCTACGGGCGAACATATTTCGGATCCGAAAATCGTCGCAGATCGTCTCGCTGAGCATTGGGGCAACGTGCACGGCTTGGAAGAGGGCTCTTCGGATGCACGCGAGCAGTTAAGGCCTTATGTAGTTCAGTGTCCTGGGCATATTCCATGGGGGATCTGTTTTGACGAGTTCTGCGAGCGCGCCTCCAAGGTTCGCGATTCTGGAGTTGGCCCCGACGGCGTCCCCTATTCGGGAGGGATTAATTCAGGAACCATTGGCTTTCGACTGCTCCACGCACTGTATCTTTCGCTTCTTCGGGGTGGAGCTCTGTCTTGCGATTTCAACTTCTGCCAAGCGGTCTCCCTTGCCAAGGGCGTGGAGGACGATGACCAGTCGATTGGGGTTTTCCGCAAGCCCGAAGTCACTAGGCCGATCTCTCTCTCTCTCTCTCTCTCTCTCTCTCTCTCTCTCTCCAACAGCGACAATAAGCTGATCTCTAGGACTCTGAATTACTCCTTCTCCGACCTGTGTTGCGAAACGGCGATCGGCGTCCAGAGGGGCTTCGTCAAAAATCGGAACATGAACGACAACATTTTGGCCCTGGAGTCTTGGGCTCTTCAATGGCATTGCCAAATGGATCTCAGGGGGGCGGGTTTCGCCTTCTTCGACGTTCGGGCCGCGTTTCCCAGCTTACTCCATCTTATGATATGGTGGGTCTTGGGCGCCATGGGAGTTCCTACGTTTATCATCGACGCTGTGCGTAAGCTCTACCATCGCGCGTGGGTTAGCATCAGCTTCTGTGGGCTCCAAGAGGCAGGATTCTGGGCCTTCAGAGGTATTAAACAAGGCTGTCCTCTATCGGGCTCGATGTTCTGTCTTGGCTTCGATCCGATCCTTCGATACATGCAGTGCCTTTTGCCACCGCAGCTAGGCGTCTTGGGAGTCTTTGCTGACGACACAGGCATCTCCAGCTCCGACGTCTTCGCCACCTTAGTTCTGGTTCTGCCCGCTTGGGACCTCGCAGGCCATGCTGCTGGGCCCCATATGAATGTAGCCGAGACTGTCATTGTCGTGATTCATCCCATGTCTTATCAGGAATTATGTCAGCGTCTCCAGCAGCACGGTATCTCTCAGGAGGGTTTTATTTTCAGGCGTGCCGCCAAGTACCTGGGCGTCGTTGTCGGGCCTGGCGGCGCACAGGAGAGCTGGATTGCTCCTGCCACGAAATGTATTGAACGTGCAAGGAGTATTCAGGGGCTTGGGCTCGGTCTGCTAAAGTCGGTCGCTCGATGCAACTTGTATGCCCTCTCCGTCTTGTCCCATGTCTCCCAGTTCTACTTCCCCTCTGATTTTGCCAAGTCCATCGAGAACCAGTCCCTTCAGCTTATCTCCAATGGTCCAAGAAACGCTATTCCGTCCGACCTCATTAGGAACCTCGACTCCCTCGGCTTCAAAATCGGTGCTCGGGAATTCGAATGTGCTGCTCGTGCTGCCATGTTTCGAGCAGCGACCACATCCAGCGCCTTCCACCAGGCGGTTAAGCGATTGTCTGAATTCGCCCTCGCAGACGAGTGCCAGATTACGCATGCATGGAATGAGTGGTGGAAGAACAGTATCACGATCTCGATGTGGCGAAACTATGACTTCATGAATCAGATTCCCAGGGTTCCTGTCTTTGGCGACCGGAGGTTCCAACGCAAAGCTGAGAAGGCTCTTCTGAGGCGTAGGAAATATTCTCCGCATCAGTTCTTGTTTGACAGACTTCGGCATTTCATCCCTGAAACTTCCAGGGCCGACGTCGACCAGGTGTTTCGGTTTTTGCTCCGTGTAGCTGAAGTTGCCCCCTCCTTCCTCGTGTCCTCCTGCCTCAAAACTGTCAGTAACGCCTGGTGCACTTCGGGTCGGTTTAGAGGGCCGACTCGTGACTGTCCAGTGCGTCTAGCATCGTGTCAGGACGCTCTCATGCATGTCATTTGTTGCAAAGTCCTCGCGCGGACTGTGCGTTCTCGTCTCCCCTTCCTTCCCAATGGGGTTGAAGATGCGAGGAACGTAGTTTGTGTGTTTCCCTGTGGCCCTTTATCTTCTTCCGAGGTGCTGTCCCTAGCACTATACATTGACACCGTGCACAGTGTTTACCATAGTATGAAGGGCGCAGGACAGGGGGTCGCAGCCTTCCAACGCGCTGCTGTCGCCCGCCTTCGGCAAACTGCCTGGCGCGCCCCCGCCATCGTTCCGCTTCTTCGCTCCAGGTCAGGTGTTGGACGGTCGTAGGCTCTCCCTCCCCTTCGCTTCTTGTC